GTGTGTGTGTGTGTGTGTGTGTGTGTGTGTGTGTGTGTGTGTTTTCATAGTGGGGTTTATCTCTAATGTATTTCTTCATTGTGGGTAGCCTTCTTGAACTGTTGTTATATGTTTTTCTGTTTTTTCATCTATGAAACCCAGGATTGATGAATCTTACAGAGACAACAAGTAGAATGAGGGCTCCTGGAGCCACAGTGGGTGCGAGAGGGTGGGGGTGGGGGAGCAAAGGAGAGCTAATATCAAGGAGTTCATGAAGGAAATGTTTTGAAACTGAATGTCGTAGCAATTGTACAACATTGCTTGAGGTGATTGAACTATGGAATGATATGATATTTGTAAGAGCTCCCAATAAAATGGTCTTAGGGGGAAAAAGATAGTTATTTCCTATATTAGAGTTTATAAATATAATACACACACACAAAGGAAGAACAAGCCAAAGTTCTTGCTATTGTTTTGCAATTCGATATTAAGCATCACTGAGACAATACTCGTTATAAATAGGGCCAGGCCTGAGTGAGATGTCATACCTTGCCGCACTGTTTGTAGGCAATTCCCTTCTTGTTACAGTATTCATAGATGAGAGCAGCGCCTTGCACACATAATTTGGCTTTCAGAGATGCAGGTGTATAGTAGATTCCACTATGGATGACGCCACTGTTGTGTCCGGTTTGGTGAAGAGCTATAGAAAAAAAGAAATCGGGTCAAAAAAAGCCCAGCACTCACACAAAACTTAAGACAGAGGGAAACAAATGAACATATTTCAAGTTATTAGAGGACACATCATTTAAACTTCTGACTTGGACAGGTGATTTTCTCTATCAAATGTGTCCAGGTCATATCCCCCCATTTCATCTCTAATTTCAGCCACAACTTGGAGGCAGACTCTCTACTTGCTGCTAGCATATCCCTTCAAGGGCCCACTGTGGCTCTGCATTCTGCACGAGGGCCTGTTCCAATGTGTTTGAGAAGGGAGGGTGAGAGGGACCTTCAACAACACCTCCAGGGGCAATCCTCAGTCAAGACAGGCAGGTGCTGATGAATACAGCAGCACACCCCTGGGAGACATTAGGGACCTCCTCTGAAGGGCAAGGAGAACCCAGCACACACAGCAGTGACACTGATAACAGACCCTCATCAGGGAGCTTTTCTTCTTTCCCTTTTATTTTCCCAATCCCTCATCCTTGCCTCCTGGGATAACCTTTCAGATAAATCATGTACCTCCAGGTCCTTGTCTCAGGCTTTCAGAAGAACCGGACTCAGACATTAATATCAACATTCAGGATCAAAGATGTCGCAATGGCAAAATGAGCAGGTACTTGGGTAAGCCGGAAACACTGGCAACAAACATACCTAAGTCTTTCTCCTTTTCCAGAAGACCAATGGAAAGTGCTGGATGCCGCTGGATGAGTGCTCTAGCAGAGGCTAGTCCCACAATTCCACCGCCGACAATCACTACATCAAATGAGCTTTAAGAGAAAATCCTCTTTAAAGTTATGCCTGTTTACAGAAGGCCTTACCAAACTTCATACGCATAGCTTTCATCAGTGTGCTTACCATAGGGCTTAGCAATTGTAACTTTTGGCATTTATCCAAAACAAAAGAAAGCCTTGTTTACATAAAAACCTGTACCACAATGTTCATGGAAGTTTTATTCACAAGAGCCCAAATCCAGAAATAATCTGAATGTCCTTCAATAGGTCATAAATGGTTAGGTAAATTCGGTGCATCCACACCATGGAAAGTTATTAACAGCTGCAATCAAATCAGTGCTGACTCACAGTAACATTAAGTAGAAAAGAACAAAACTTTGCCTGTCCTGTGCCACCTTCATAATCATTGCTATGTTTGTTGGGGCTAGGTGCTGTCAGTTATTCTGACTTGTGTCAATCCTACAACAGAACAAAATACTCCCTGGTCCTACATAATTCTCATGATTGTGATGTTTGAACCCATCGCAGCCACCGTGCCAATCCATCTCCTTGAGTGTGGGGGAAATGCCAGCCCCCACCACTAATCGTGGGTTTGATAGGTGCAATTGTTCGGTTACTATATATGAAATTATGGTAAAGTCCTAGAGAGCATGAAGAATAGAGGATTCTGTTTTCTTTACATTCAAACGTAATTCATACTAAGGCTGCAGTCTTTGCTCTTCGTCAGTAAGAACTTCAAGTCCCCTTCACTGTCAGCAAGTAAGGTTTGTCATCTGCATATCTTGGTTGTTAACTCTTCCTCCAATCCTGATGCCATATTCTGCATAAAGCCTAGCTTCTTAGGTTATTTGCTCACATACAGACTGGATAAGTATGGTGAAAGAATACAACTGTGATGCATACTTTCCTTCATTCTAAACTATTTGCTATCTCTTTGTTCTGTTCAAGTAATTGCCTCTAGGTCTATGTACAGGCTCAACACCAGCACAATTAAGTGTTCTAGAATTCCCATTCTTTGAAATGTTATCCATCATTTATTGTGATCCACACAATCAAATGCCTTTGCAACATCTATAGTATAAGTAAACATCTTTCTAATATTCTGTTTTCAGCCAAGATCCATCTGATATCAGCAGTGATATCTCTCATTCACATCCCCTTCCAAATCCAGTTTTATTTTCTGACAATTTACTGCCTGTGTACTGCTGCAACTGTTATTTCTTTTCTTTTTAAAAAATTCAATTTATTAAAAGATTTTTTTACAACTATTATTTCTTTATCTTCAGCAAAACTTTATTTGCATGTGATATTAATGGCATTGTTTGATAATTTCTGCATCCCTTTCTTTGGAATGGATACAAATAGAGATCCCTTCCAGTTGATTGGCCAGGTAGCTAGCTGCCTTTCAAATTTCTTGGCACATATGAGTGAGTGCTTCAAGTTGCATTAGTTTACTGAAACATTTCAACTGTAATTTTTATTAATTCCTAGAGTCTTGTTTTTCAATAATGCCTTCAGTGCACCTTGGATTTCTTCAATAACATCTATTCTTGACCATATGCTAGTTCCTGAAATGGATGAATATCAATCAATTATTTTTAGTACAGTAACTATGTATTCCTTCCATCTCTATTTGAGGGGTCAGTCAATATTTTGCCCACTGAATCCATCATTATAAGGGCCACAAACTCAGAAGAAATCTCTATTAACGCAACATAGTTCATAAAAATAATGGTCTGCATACTACTTCAGTGAGTGGTGTTTGGGTCTTAAATGTTTATGAGCAGCTGTCTAAGTTATAACTGTTTGTCGCTACGCATCAAATGAGAGTGAAGAAAAGCAGGCTTGAGGAAGTACGCTAAAGGACTGATGAATCACAGGAATCACACCTATGTCAGTTTTCCCAAAGCAGTACTGCCCTTGGGAATGACCCACGGAGAATATAAAAGCAAATACTTACTCTTTATCCTGGATTAGGGGCTCTAGTGCAAAAGTTTAATTGCCAGAAGAGTACTGAGTACTTCCCCTCCCTTCAGCCCCGCCTCTCTCCCAAAAGAGCAGTAGGTCATATAAGTTTGGGAACCTATGGCTTATATGACTCTAAAATGAGAAGAATGATATGGAGTGTGGCTACCATTACCAACCACCCTGACTGGGACCCAAACAGAGGGTCTCAATAGAGAAGAATAATACTGTAGAACAATGACAACAAAATCCATTACACACACACACACACACACACACACACACACAACCAGACTCACTGCTCTGACAGACTGGAGAAACTCCTGACAGTATGGTCCTAAGACTTCCTTCTGACCTAGAACTGAAGCCCTTCCTCGAGAATACCTTGTAGTCAAATGATAGGCCTGTAAGCAGTAATACCAAGGAAGAATGTGCTCCTTAGGACAATCAATTATAGAAGATCAAAAGGACATTTGCCCAAAAGCAAAGATGAGAATGCAGAAAAAAGTAGGAAACTTACAAGGAACTAAACAGGTAACCCAGGGTAGATAGGAGAGAGTGCTAATGCATTGTACGAGATGCAACCAATATAATGGAACATTTTATATAACAACTATCAAGGAAACTTGATCGCTTGTATTTATTTTGCTCTGAAAACTTTGGCCTAAAGCACATACACACAAGAATACTTCTAGGCTTCTTTGTGTCGTCTTCCTTTTTTGTTTCTAACTCCCGATCTTTGCTTCATTATAATTTGTCTTCTCCAGCCACACTTTGAAATCTTCTGTTTAGCTCTTTTATGTCATTGCTTGTATTTGCTTTATCTACTCTTTGCTCAAGAGCAAATTTCAGTCTCTTCTGACATCCATTTTGGTTGTTTCTTTCCTAGCTTTTTAATGGTCTTTTGTTTTCTTCATGCAGGATGTCCTTGATGTCATCCCACAACTTGTCTGGTCTTTGGTCATTAGTGTTGATGCATGAGATCCATTGTTCAAATGATCTCTAAATTCAGATGAGACTGACTCTAGGTCTCACTTTGGCTCTTATGGATTTGTTTCCATTTTCTTCAGCTTCAACTTCAACTTGCGTATGAGCAATTGATGTTGCGTTCCACAGTTAGCCCCTGGCCTTGCTCTAACTGATGATATTGAGCTTCTCTATTGCCTCTTTTCATAGGTCTAGTCAATTTGGTTCCTGTATAGTCCATCTGATGAAGTCCATGTGCTTATGTTGTTGAAAAAATATATTTCTAATAAATAGGTTGTTGGTCTTGCCACAAACTATCATGCAATCTTTAGCATCATTTATCATCAAGGTCATATTTTCCAAGGATTGATCTTTCTTGTTTCCAATTTTCACATTCCAATCACTAATAACTACGAATGCATCTTGATTGCATAGTTGATCAATTTTAGACTGCATAAGTTAGCAAGAATCATCCATTTCTTTATCTTTGGTGTTAGTGGTTGGTGGATAATTTATACTAATAGTTACATTACATGGTAGCGTTAGGGAGGGTTGTCTGGAGAAACAAAACCAGTGACACATACATGGGTTAAGAAAAACTTTCTATCAGGAAGTAAGTTTATATCAAGAAGGCATCCCAAACCAGTTCAACTCAAGTCATGGATCTAATATTAGCCAGATTCCTCTTCAGGCTCATGTAGCTGCAAGCCAGTAATGCAGAAAAGTGAAGTGGAAGCAGAGAGATCACAGGCTGGTGGGTGCAGTCACAGAGTGAGTTCAGTCATGTGGATCCATAGCTGGTGGGAAAATAGCAGAATGCCAACAGCTTCCAGGTTGGCGCCCAGGGAGACACAGAAGCCCAGCAAGCAGGGAGTATGAAAGGTCAGAGAGAGAAGTTCTCACTGTCTCTCTTATAAAAAGGTCACACTCCCAAAGAGGCATCACCAACCTACCACTGATTCGCATGTTGCATTCCATGCCTACCTCCACACAGGTACTATCCAGTTGGCATAAACTCTAACCAACACAGACATCCCTGTCAACTTGACACCGGTACAGAGCTCTTCCCATATTCTCATCAACCCTAGACACCTCAAGCTAGGTCAAGCCACAAGCTCAGGCTCCATGCAACGCTATCTTAATCTAGAAAAGGTCTATGGTTTGTAACCGGAAAATCAACATGGGGATGGCATCTGATCTCACGTCACAAAGGGGCAAGAAGAATCAAACACTACATAATGCTAAAGCCAATTCCTCTGAGGCAAGGGTCAGATGTACCTCCAACCTTCTTTATCAATTCTGACTCGAACCATCCCCCCAGCAGGCTCTTTTACTCAACTGGGTTCAATAATTCATTACAATGGCCATAGAGAAGTCTCAAACCACACTCACAATTATGGAGTTTATTAGGGAAGCTAACAGGTTATAATTCGGGATTCGAAATGTGAAGGATATAGTTCTTTGGTTAGGAGAAACTCTTTCCCACAATGCTCACAAGCAGGTCTTTCTAGTCCTCAATCCCTTGGCCTGGGTTCTGCCTTGCTCGGACAGTGTTACAAATTTCTCTTGGTACTATTGATAAATGGCCAAAGGGCACTCCACTCCACCATAAGTCTCAGCCCCAAAACTCTTGGCTCAAGCTCAATCAGTCAGCAAACTCAGCTTCCCAACTGAATGCCTGGAAGCATCCTACTCCATAAGCAATCCTAATGTCCAGAGGCTGAACTCAGCTTTACTGCTCAGCGGACTGAGAAAACCCACCACCACTCTCTTGTGTTCTGTGCTCTGGCTCTGCTGCTGCCACCACTGGTTCTCTACCACAGTGGTTCTCAACCTTCCTCATGCCTCGACCCTTTAACACAGTTCCTCATGTGGTTCTGACCCCCAACTGTGGGGGGAGGTCAGATGCGCAGGCATTCCCCCACTGAGGGCAATCAGTTGCCAGACTGCTGTCTCATCCCTCCACAGGGGTGGGCCTGCTCCCTGCCTCTGGGGACAATGGACAGGCTCCTGTAGGCGGAGTTTTCACCCTACTGATAATGTTCCTATGGAGACCCAGAGACCACCCCCTAGACCACCCTCTCATTGCTGTGTAACCTATAGTGCAGCCCCTTCCTGTGACGTATGTCTCTACCTGTAATTAGTGGGCTGGCTTGCCCCCAAAAGGTATATAGGTGTGAGCCAGCAATATAGATCCGGCTCTCTGACTCTGAGCTCCTTGCTGCTCACTCCCTGGTCACTCCCCTCTCCCTTGTTCCCTTTCCCTCCTTCCCTTCCCCCTCTCTCCATGTGGACCACCAAGCTGGGCTGAGGTGAGCAATGGTACTATGTAACATGACTGACTGTATTATTGTATTATCTCTCATGCTCTCAATGACTTTAATATAATGCTTATATATCTCAACCGTACAATTGTGCATTACTGAACCCAGAAGTAGTATTACTGAACCCGAGTAGTAGCAATAGTAGTAGCTGCGGGTGGGGGCCGGCCCCCCACTCCCCAGCGACGATTTTTTAAAATTTAATACTACACCCAACCATGAAATTACTTTCATTGCTACTTCATAAATGTCATTTTGCTACTGATGGGAATTGTCATGTAAATATCTGATAAGCAGGATGTATTTTCATTGGTACAAATTGAACATACTTAAAGCATAGTGATAAATCACACAAACAATATGTAATTATATATTGTGAAATATTTATTTCTAATGACAAATAAATGAAATTTTGTCTTGAAGCATGGTGTAGCATGGATAACAGTCTTCACAGCTGGTACTCATATGTGGGCGTGTCCTCCTAGAGACAGATAGAGGAGCGGTGTCTCCGTTCCTAAGACCATCGGAAATAAGGTGTTTTCCAATGGTCTTAGGCAACTCCTATGAAAGGGTTGTTTGACCCCTGCAAAGGGGTCACGACCCATAGGCTGAGAACCGCTGATCTACCAGTTCTCTAGTGTCACAGTTTTCTGTGCCTGGAATAAGGAAGTTCAAAGGACAAGGATCTCAGTGTTCAAAAGACGCACTCGGCTCTTAACTCTATTTTCTTTATGGTAGCAAATCCCTGATTTTGGTGTTGAGATGGCTCAAGGTATACCCAGAATGATGGCAAAACTGACTGATTCCCCACATTAAAGTGTCAAGTTTTATTTGTTTTTTTCTAGTCATTTTATTAGGGGCTCATACAACTCTTATCACAATCCATACATACATCAGTTGTGTAAAGCGCATTTGTACATTCATTGCCCTCATCATTCTCAAAACATTTGCTCTCCACTTAAGCCCCTGGCATCAGGTCCTCATTTTCCCCCTCCCTCCCTGCTTCCCCCAAAGTGTCAAGTTTTTACAATCACAATGAGCCCTGCTATCACTCACAATAGACTAATCACATTTGTACTTTCCCCCACCTTGTCTTATCACACCCAATCATGAAAAGGTCATTTGGTGGGAATTACAAGACTATGGCTCAAAAAATCTCACTGTCAGTCGATTCTGACTCACAGAGACCCTAAAGGGCAGAACAAAACTGTCCCGGTGGGTTTGCAAGACTAAGAACCTTGACAGGCGTCAAAACCACCTTCATCTTTCTCCCTTGGAGAGGCTGACAGATTCAAACTGCTGACCTTTTGGTTAGCAGCCCAATGTGTATCACACTACACTGTCAGGGCTCCTAAGACTATGACTGGAAGAACAGTAATACGTAATTCACTGCACTGAAGTACCAATGCTAATTTCCTGCATTTGGTATTGTATAGTTATGGAAGCTATTTTCATTGGGACAACAAATTATTAGAGATCTATTAATTATTTCAAAATAAGAAGAAATAGCAAAACTCTTCACTAACCTCACCCTTCTCTTACGAAATCTTCCAAAAGGACAGTCTCCATAAACTACAATCAATCACAAATCCGATTAATAGTACATCATTCAAATGCCTCTCCAATCCACTAACCGAACACACCCTGAATCAATTTTTGAAACATTTAAAGATTCCCTCTCTTAAAATTCTTTAATAGCTTCCACTGCTCTTAAAATAGCTTGATTAAAATAGAATGAAAGCTCTGCTGTAAGGTAGCCCCCTCCAGCCTTATTCCACATCATCTTTTACACATGGTTGCAGTCACATTCACATTGGTCACCCATGTCCTCAAAGAGCAACGGGCTACCCAGCCTTAATGCCCTCGCATAAGCCATCTTTCTAAAGACGGCAAATAGTATCTCCAAACTTCATGGCACAGGACACCGAATTCTGCAGTTGCTTCTTGCAGAGGTAACTTAAGAACTGGCTGATTTAAACCCATTTCAGACTTTGCAGGCAATACTAGCAAATCGGCCGAGTGCTTGTTCACAGTGAGCTAAGTCATTTCGTTCTCTAAACCAGCACCTATGAGACTAGAATTCAATTCACAAGTGAACCTTTGAGAAGATTCAGAAACGCGCTCAAAATTAATCAGCATGTGAAGGGATTTTATTCCAATGCAGAATTGTTAAGACCTCAACCTAACACTGAATTCTTTTCCTGCGGCCCCCGAAGTCATCTACAAGTAGTTCCTGGGATCCGAGATTGGAGCCGGGCAGGCACCACAGGACCCAGACCTTCTCTCATTCCAGGGACAAGGAAGACGAACAAGACCTTTGGTCCGGCATGGGGCACCACTGACAGCAGAACCAGCGCAGGGGGCGGGTCAGCGGCCACTTACCTAGCGCTGGCGCTGCGACCCAAACAATCCCCGCCCAGCAGCCACGGTTTCCCTCGGGTCACCCAGTACGCCCTGAGGATGCCCCCGCCGGCCCGGCCGCAGGGCCCGGCCGGGTAGCCCAGTGCCGGCAGCATGGCCCACGTCCACTGACCTTCTCCAGAGCCCAGAGCGGGCCACGGGAACCCTGCAGGGACTCGGTAGGGGAGCTGTTTGGCCCCGCCCAGGCGCGTCCGAGCCAATGAGGCGCGT